TACTTTTATAAACTACAAACGAGAAGGACGCCTAATGTTATAATACCATTTTCCAACTTATAAAAAAAGAGAGTATTTTAGTAGAAACATCATGCCTAATCTAATTATATAAAACTAGAAATATAGTTAAATATCAAAAGATTTGGATTCTATACGTATGTTGTTCTATAAATACTTCAATGAATATATACTATTTCAGCGACTAGCTGTTCACGACCTTTTTTTCTTTATGAATCAAATTACTCTTTTGGTAAGCAAAAAACGAAATTAAAAATGCAAACGAAGCAAAACATGTAGCCATGGCTCATTTATTAAACCCATGTTCGGTATAATAAAATGACATATTAATAAATTCCAGAGCTCATTTCGTAGTGAGGGTCTTTAATTATCCCCGTTAATAAAAGATTATATGCAGAAATGCAATGTTCCCCTTAATATTAGCAAGACTTGGGTTTTGGTTAAAAGTAAAACAAAAATAAAAAAAAAATGCTTGAAATAAAAATTTCGCTAACGAAATGGAAGCAACTAACATTTATATAGATAAGCAAAGTTTCGACGCAGCTTAATTTCATATGTACTCATATTATTTATTAATCAGATTGCAGACATAAATCTTATCCGAATTCAAGATACATCCTATTATACTTGCAGACAGCCTAATATCAGATTTTATTTTAGTTATTTTTGATATTTTAATTAATTTCCTTCCGACTGTGAAAGCAACAGTGGCGCAGTTTTTTTTAACGTTGCCGAAGATCGAGTAAATGAAAATGTTTATGTAAATGAAATTTAATATTCTGCATAAAATTAAGGACTTCATTCAAGAAATATAATGATATAATTTTAATAAAAGTAAACAAAAATAATAGGATTAGTAAAATTTAGCAAATACAGAACCAAGCTACATATTTTTGACTTGCCAGTACCTGAATCTTCTTATTTTTGCTTCATCGTACGTTAAGTTACATTACATTACAATAAGCCACCAAGGCAATTTAGCATTACCATGGCCAGGCAAACTAATTCTTTGATGTGGATTTGATGCACACAAGTAAGACGAATCGAACAGCCATATCAAAAACTTTAAATCAAGCGTCAGGTTGCATTAAGTAATAATCAATCTTCCTTCAGATGCGCCTAGAACTCCACAAATAGAAAATGAATAGAATGACGTAATGCAATTCCCATTTTTTGCCTAAAGTACTCTTATGGTACGATTCTTGTTTGGTGCACTTCGAAGCCACAGAATGAGTCTTATATTAAGTATCGTCATTCCAGTTAGACACCTTACGTTACGTAATGGTATATCACTGAACCTCCCCCCTTTAATCTATAATAGTACTCAAATTGAAGAAAATTTTCACATCTCATCGATTATCTCCAGCACTGATGAACAGAATCCATAGCTTGATGTAATGTAAAAAATATGCTTGACGTAATGTAATGGTGCACATTGTGGATAAGGCCTTCCGTTGCAGGAATATTTAAAACAGAAGACAGAGGAGACTAATAGGAAGTATGTTACTCTTTAATTGTCATAAAGATCTCAAAATATGATTTCGTACTTGAAATTAAGAAATTTATAAGTCCTTGCTGCAGTCGGTTTCACTCCTGCATCCCTGCTGCGTGCTTATTTCTTACGTTTTACAAGTCGAACAGACCTGTAATTCCAGTTATGTTTTAAATTTTCTTTTCAACCTGTAATAATTTTTTAAATTATCTATTTAATTTATAATCATTTCAGACGTTATCTGCATGTATGTACGCATGTTATTTGCTTATACGTGGCTTGGATAGCTCTTCCATTTTGCATTGTTGCTCTTTTAATAGCAAAAAGTGTTATTAAATACAATTAACATTCGTTTCAAAAAATTAATACGAAATGCATAGAGCTTTTAAATAATTTACTTTGTTCGAGGTAAATTGTTAGGAGAAATGGATACTCCGACACTTAATAAAAGAATGTTAAAATAGGATGTTTGTCAAAATACGATAAGAAAGTAATAATATAAAAATATCTGGCCGTCAGCGCCACTGGAAAGAAGGATCACCGTATTCTCAGCATGTAATTCTCCGAAAAGGAAGATATACGTGAATAGATTTCGTCCCAACAAAGACATGTCAAAAGATTAGTCGATAACTGACAGCTGTTTCTGAAGGAACGTTGTGTAGCATACTTATGAACATGAGTCATCAAATTCAATAACGCAGAAATGCTAGCAAGAAATGTTTTTTTGCTCAGAATAATACGATTCTGCAAGAACTGAATCACATAACAAAAAGAGTTCTATGAGTGCAAGAGTGTAAAAATAACTTTTCGGCTGAGTATGGAATATCCTACGTGCATATGGTACAAAAATTCAGTAATTACATTATAAGGAATCTGCACAATCTATTTAAGTTAAGAAGAAATTGCGTTTTCTGCAGCGTGAGGTTGTAAAATTAAAATAATAATAACTAAACACTGGGATAAAGAAGCAGTTTTGAAGAATTTAAATGATGAATCCAATAATTACATTAAAACTTATGTATCGAGTACTACACTTTCAGAATCGTGACCTCTTTCGTGAAGAAATACTAGGTTTTCTGACTTAATATTATATTAATATTTGCTAATAATACTGTAAATACAATAAATTATTTAAATAAAATTATAAAGAAACTTTAATGAACAAAAGTGAATTTCTAACTGATTGGTCAAGATTACTGCGGACGGATTGCAAATAATAAAGTTTTAAACAATTTTCAATCTATCTTGGCTTTTCTGAAAGATATATTATATTAGCTCTCCTGCATAAGTTTATAGTAGTTCTTCGACGACTGTAAACATGATTTTCGAGCTGTCCTGAGAACACTGGCTAATAAATTGTGTTTTCATTCTTCATCAAATGCTGTCATCGTTATTCACTCCAAATCCACGAACTCGTACATAAAGAAAAACGTAACAATATAATAATGCACGTTTCCCTCACTCACAGCCGGCTGACACTTCATAAAAATGTCTCTGAATGTTTAGACGTTCTTACAAGCATAACATTGCTTAAACATGCAGGTAAAGAGTAAAATACAATAAAAATTGAAATAAACTGCAAGAAAATTTTCATGTTGAATACTGAAGTAAATACAAATGTGAATGTTGAAGTATATATAATTGCACAGCAGTAAATTCGAAATTATAATCTGTGGATTTTTAATTAAAACTAAACAGCTGGATTATTTTTTTATTCCAGTCGAAGGAATGTAGTTAATGGTGATGATTTTCAGATTATCATCACAATTTAGTCAAAATATATGAAACTAAATCATTTATATATAACCCTTAAACAAATTTCTCATTCATAAATTTTATCTTACTGGATATCTTCAGAAAAAAGAGTAGTTCTTAATATGGAAATCTTGCCTCGTAAGTATTTCAAAATATGACTTAAACCGTCTTCAAACCGAAGTTAAATTAAGTTAAAAAAAAGGTAAATTCATTGATTTTAAAGAAAATATAAAAATGTAATTCAGTTTATATGAAATATACAAGCGTAGTATTTTCGCAAATGAAAAATCGGCTCATGCTTCTGTAAAAAGGATGCAAAATGTGTCGCTTAAAATTAGGATTTGTATAATAATCCTGCATGGAATACTCGTATACATGTACATACTGACAAGAAAGAAACGTTAAACAAGCATTACATATTGAAATAACCAATGATGTCTTTGCTTAGACAGCATAAATTGAATTTTAAGAAACTGCATTCATAACACTTTTAAACAAGTTACATTCATGAGATTAGACTTATTAAGACATTACAATAATTAATATTATTGAGATTAATTACCTGTTAAATAACGTGCGAAAGGACTTTGTAAAGCTGTTTAGCGACTCAAACTTAAAACTTGAGTTTTCACAAAAACCCTTGATGAATTCTAGATTTCTCAATATTTCTTAAAATTGCATTAAATGTTCTTTTCTCATTTACCACCACATATTTTTATAAAACTACTTCTTCAGCTTTAACACTTATCAAAACCAAATATCGTTCAATGACGAAACATGATAAAGATGTATTTTGTCCAGCAGGTGTTAAATATATCGCACCAACATTTAATTTGTAATGCAGCAGAAGACGAGCATATCTGTCTTATTAGAAGTTTCTTTAATTTTTTGATTAAAATAAATCCTAAAATACTTCTTTTTATGTCTATTGTTTACCAAAGAAATAAATTATTTACGAAAGGATATTTATTTTTAAATTTTTATTTTATATTTAATATCTGAAATCTCAGTGATAAAAATGGGTCGCGACTGAGAAGAGTTTAAGAAGCCCTGGAATAGAATATTCCTCAAATAGAATATAGCTAAAATTCATGTCGAAATACTTATTACTCAAACATAAAATGAATAAATATAGATATCGTATCACACTTCGAATAAGAAATGAAACAAACTAATAAATTATAAGTAAGTTATTTCTGACATGAAAATGCAGCCAAGATATCATAAAGCTACACTATAAGTATTGTTGCAAGATATCGGCTTCATATTAACATAACGAAAATACCATACTGAATTCAGAACTATATTATTTTATTTGACTTTCATCAAAATTTATATCAGCGTTTCAGTTAAAAATTCTGACAATTGCTCTATTTGACGTGCTAATATTAAATTGAATGCTAATATTTAGCTATATACGCTAATATTTAATTTAAATGCTGAGTGGAAAATATGTCACGCTATTTTAACTTATTCGATTACAACATAATTTAGCTTTGCCAGGAAAGTTACAGAAATTGATACCATCTGATCATATTTGGCTTTTGTGTACACTGAAATATTAAAACTATGATTATGATTTTTAAATAGCTATGTCGTTCACAAAGCTACTTGAGCAAGTTTGATCACGAATCAGTTTTGCAACTTTTGGTAAACTTGGCATATATATTCAAATGCAAATTTATATTTATAAATTGATTTACTTAAACAAACAATAAAAGTTCATGTTACTTACATTATGACCATTCATCCAGTTTTCATAATCGGCATTAAAATTCTTTTCCCATTCCAAAAAATAATCTGAAAGACAAAAAAAATGGCAATGTGAGTAGCTATACATTTTTTAGACTAAGAAATTAAAGTAATTGGACTGTATTTGTATCTTTAAGATGTAGCATCAGAAGGTGTGTTCCATTCCTCCGTATAAGATTATGACAGCCCTCTGCTTAATTTAGCATTGCTCGACATTACCTATTCATTGGAGTATCAACAGTTTCCTCTTTCTTTCCACCTTTTCCGATCATCAGTCGTTACAGAACGTTTTAAATACAGTTTCGTTTTCTGACATCTTGACAAAAAATAGTCACAGATCTTGAGGTCGAAGCTTTATATGTCACTGTGGCATGAAATGATGCCACTTCCAAATAAACGTTAAGCAGTTGCTAGAAACTGTTGGACAGTAGTGTAAGTGGAAAATCAACTACTGGCTATCATCAACTGTTACAAGTTGAGGATAACTTCAAATACTCCTCAACTATTTGCATCTGTTTTACTTTTGTCCGATGACACATAATTTCACACCGTAATGCTATTTTTCTGCGTGGAGGTCAAACAAAGAGAATGTACTGACCACTTTCTTCAGCAACTGATGACTTGGAAAGGAGGAATAAAGAGGAACCCGTTGTTACATTGAGCAATGCTGAATTACTATCAAATAACTGCCAGACCCATGTATAGATAGAACATATTTTTCTGATATTATTTTCAAGACATAAATGATCATAGTTTACAATAAGAAACGGTAAATCTTACACAATACATTTTATCAGTCAGAATCTTTGTAATAGAGTTAATTCGTTCATCGGACGCAATTCAAATTTTCTCCGTTTACTTTCGCCAAACAATGTTTAAGAACGAAATAGTATTAACAGTTTCTAAATCGTTTAATTCTTTAGTTTTTTAGTAAATTGGGAGCTAATATGATTACTGCATTTGTGGCATATTGGACAGAATAAGCCATACTCAAAGTTAAATTTCATTAGAGATATAGTTGTGTATTTAAGTAAAACTTACGTTCAAATGAACATAACTCCAATACTGGAGAAGCGTTAGGACTTTCAGCAAACTTTCAACCAACTTTGCGAATTTATTTTAAGCACATGTAAAGCAATTTAATCAGAAACTGATAGGCATTATAATGCTGTTACACCATTAGTTCTTTGTATTGTTATGCAACCAAGTATAAAAGTCGAAAAGTAAAGTAGCCTAAAATTGTTGCCAAATACGTTGGTTATTTCTGATATAATTAATGATAATTTCATTAAGTCAAATAAATTTAGCATCGTGTTCGGGTTTATGTAATGGTAATTATATTTGACAGATTTTTGTTGATTAGATTTATAATTTGGTTTGACAAATTGTGGAGAAAAGAAAATTATGTGACACATAGTGAAGACAAATGCTAAAGTGAGTATTGTCTGTAAAACGGTGTGGTATTTATTACTAAATTTAACGAGTTGTTAATAATTTCAGCCTTTACTTTAAATTCTCCTTTCCGTTTCCTCACTTGAACCATGAAGAAGTTTAGAGAGTATTTAAGCTGAGGATTTTGGATATCAAGACAGAGCGTGTTTCTTCCCTCTTGGCCACGTTAATTAGTTCTACCATTACTGATAAATTTATAATTGTTCAGCTTTCTGATATATTCTGCCGACATTTAAATTGATACGCCGGTTAAAGTTTGGAGCCAATTTAGATTTAAATTTAACTGTGTAGTCTCTGACAACTAGACTACGTTGAGTCTAACTTGAGTTGGATAGTTCTTTTAGTTACATCTCCACAAGTGACGGTTAATGTTGTAAGCACAAGAAATGCATTTGTGCTTAAAGTGTGTTTAAATAAAAAGCTTTATTTTAAAACCTCTCCAAGACATTGTAGTTAATTTCAAGCACAGTACTAAGGTTTATAAATATTTTATGCTTCCAAAGAAGTCAAACTATTCCAAAGCAAAGGTAATTCTGCAACTCATTGCAACCATACTCAACGTAATTCTGGTAATTCTGTGAGCAAAGGTAATTCAGCAACTCATTCCAAAGCAAAGGTAATTCTGTAAGCAAAACTTCAAAAGTTTATTCTATTGGTTATAGTTATTTTTAACCATACTTCGTAAAAGTTTTATTTTAGAAGCCTTATTTTCTTCGAATATGAAAAATCTTTTAACATAAATCTCCTCCTGCTTAACTGCCCATATATACGGTACAACGTCAACTGTATGTTCTAACGCGACTAGAAGAAGAAAGTTTCCAAAGGCTTCACGAGATCCGGCTGATATAACTGTTACAACCCAGAGTAAAATCTCATGATTATTTCAGCTGATTAGGAGATCATTGCAATCAATATGTTACTCAAATTTAAAGGTAACGCCTGAAATCGGTTCGAATTATGCATAACTTGGATGTTTGCCTTTAAACATTTATATACATTATTCTTTTATATTTTAATCTTGTCATGCATATTAGGATATAAAGTTCGCAATTTTTTTAAAATTTAATATCTTTTGTTTTCTTATTTAACCGAATCCTAACGCCTTTCTCTTCTCATTTTCGAAAATTCTTGAGGATTCTTTTCATTTCAGAAATACTTTTGATCGGGCAAAAACTATCTTTCATCACTTTTGTATGAGAATATTAAATCGCAGACAAGGTTTATTCTTTTCATTAAAATATAAAATCTTGTCCTGGCGAAATAAAATCAGTATAAAAGGTTATGCTTTGAAAATTCAGTACGAGAAACATGGAAAGAAATTAGAAACAACGTTAGTAAAATTTAACACTACGCGAAACATAAGATACGTAGCTTAACATTTACAAGTCCGGGCGACTACAGAAGTTTCTCATGGTGTTGCCATTCAACGAGATGTAAGAAATTTACTTTCAAATTAAATCGATATGTTCTTAATAACAAATTGGGTGAGCAACAGACAAACGTCCTAATAGTTAAAATCTTTATTTTATGTTTCAAATGTAATGAATCTAATTCTAAAAATGAAAGTACTTATAATTTGCAATGTTTCCAAACGATAATTTCTGTGAACATTTCCGTATTTGCTGTAATTAGCAAACGATGTTTTCACGTCTTATGTTACATAACTGGAAAAGAATCGTTCATTTATTCAATTTTTATGATGCATTACGTTTTGAATTCTTTTAATACTTTTTAATATTATTTTTGAGCAGTTATACTATAACCTTAAGACTTTATTTAATTTTCTTGTTATACTTATTTTTGAAACTAACATTTATACATTTGGTTTCCTAATTCATTTTTTCAGCCTTGATTTGCTTACGTTCTCTGCAAACACATTGTGGTAGAATTCTGACTTTTCAGTCTCCAATAAACATAATATGATATCTAGAATTGTTATTCATCTCAGAAATCTGTTTGTTCTCTATTATGCTCGTTGCATATGCATCATTTTCTACAAATGTTTGAATAATGTTTGAATAAATTTACTATATGCGTATATATTTTTAACTTCAAAATACTGTTGCTAAGCTATATGTAAAAACCATTGAAAATTCCTCAAGAAAAGCTTAAACATCCAAATTGCTAAGCAATAACTAAGAATGATAAGGTATCCACTATTCGACGATAGAAAATATCTTTTCCTTTTGAGTGCACATAAAAGCCTTGCAATATAAAATGCATTTGGCGAAAATACCCATGCAAATACATATTTAAATATCCAGGTGTATGTATATTGTATATCCATTGGAACGAAATATTTCAGTGATGTAAACGAACAGAAATATTATGCAAACACTGACTGTATATATTATGTTGCAGTGGTTTGACTCCAAAATTATTCCCATACGGATGCTCAGATTTCTCAAAAATAACAACAAAAAAAAAAAAAAATAATAATAATAATTTCAGTGTATCATTCCAATTTTATACGAGCTATCCATGTTATTAATGCACAGAAAGAAGATTTTTTTTTTTACTTTTTTAATATGTTACAGAAGGGAATGTAAAAGAGGTTCTTTACGTCTCCAGTTTCTTGTCCTTTCGTTTGTTTGTTTGTATGTTTGTTTTGTCGCTTATGGAAAAAAATAATAAAGCTAGAGAACTCTTTGAATTTCAGACGTTCGGGAACGGGAGAAGCGAGGAAATGTGCATATAATACATTTTCTACTATGCTGGTTAGGTTAAGTTATTTTTTGCTTTTCTTTAAATAGACATTCGCTGTAAAAAATTAAGTTTAACGCATATTGCGAGTGAAAAATATCAATTAATTTCAGTCTGAAAAATTCAGATAATAATCTAACACGGGCAAATAATCTAGCATCAACATTTTAAAAGTTAAAAACTTTAAAAAAGATTAAGAAATATAAAAATGCTAAAAATTAAAACAAAATCTATCTCATCTTCATACGTAGATTTCGTTTAAATATCTGTAACCATTTTAAGTTAAATAGCTACCATAGGCTACTAGTTCAATAATTATTCTTTCAAAATTTAAGGATATAGAACAAAGTAAATCTCATGCTTGAAATGAGCTGTTAGAAAAGGGAAAGCCAAATGGCAGAAAGAAATTTCGCCACGATACTGATTCACTGTAATTTAAGATCGCATGGAGACTTGAGCTCTTATTTAACAGAACAAGCTTAATTATTCTTGATGAGATATGCGTTAATTTCACTGGAATGCTAACTCACGAAGCTTGTAACTAATATTTGTCTCAAGTGAAATTAATTTCGATTTCAGCAGGACAACGAATCTACGAGCTGAAAACAATAAGAACCGCGAGGAATTTATCACTGAAATTAAAAAAAAAAAAAAAAAAAAAAATTCAGAAAATTGATAAAATTAAAAAAAAAAAAATGCCGCTTCATTTGTGTGTGCTGATTTCATTTTAATGCATGAACTAAGTCGTTAAGATATTCTTAACAGATTAAAAATTAATCCCTCAGAAATTAGAAATAAAGAGCATATTACCTTATATTTAAAACGAACTGTTCAAAATAACATTGTGAAGTGCAGAATAAAATTTACTATGATATTGTTTCATTGAAAATCAA